ATTAGAGTAAATGGTAGCATCATAATTAGAATGGTAGATACTGTAAGTGCTTCCTTACAGCCATTTGTAGCCAGACAGCTACTAATACATCTTCTTAAACCAAGCATATCTTACCAGCTAGCTTTTCAATGTAAAATTACACTTGAAATTAAAAAAGTCACTCTTAAATGTTTAAAAGCAGTGACCTCTTTGCAATTTCCATTTAATGTATACATGCTAGGCATACTAGAAGTTTTAGAAGGCTCACTAATGTCATATGACATCATTTTAGTTCTGACTGTGTGTGTGCAAGGGCCTGACTACTCACCTGTTCATAGTTTATTAAAAAACATTTTGAAAATTTCCAGACCTATGTGCACAACTTCAAAGCTCTCAAAACTCTCTCCATATTATAGAAATGTGTGTCTATACTGCTGCTTGCACATGTTTAATGTAATCACCCTCTATTTATAATGCTTATTCTCTGAAAAGTGTCTTAGAAAAGTTGGTTAATACCAGCATTCCCCTTTTGCACATGGGGAAATTGAAGTACAATGTAGATGCACTTGAGCTGTCTTTAAGGCCCCTGACAGATGTCAAAGGCACAGTGGGATCTGATGTGGGATCCCAACAATCATGCTTCCTGCCACGCCACATATGCATACCTTACTCTGCTGAGAACTCGATGGGGGGGGGGGAACGGGACTCGATGGACCCGATGGGGGTCGGACTCGATGATCTATTGAGGTCCCTTCTGACCCTAACATCTATGAATCTATAAACTAAGACTAGTGAAGGAAGGGGTGATGTGTAGGGGGTGCACGTGGGTACATGTGCACCCCCTGAGCCTGGCAGTGCACCTCCTACAAAAAGGCGCTTGCCACCCCACCACCGAGACCGCCAACCTCCGCAGGCCGCCATCAACCCATGGTCAGTGCTAGCCACACCTTCCCCCCCACACTTTACCACTGCCGTGCTTCTACCGCTGCCGTGCCGCGCCAGCTGCCAGGGGCATGAGTCATTCATGAGTGAAGGCATATAACAGTGAAGTCACTTTCCCAGAGTAATGGAATGAGACAATAGCTGACTTGTCAGAAGAATGTGGGTCTATGTACCTGTCAAATCTGTGTTCAGGAATGAAAAGCAAATGCAGCATTACAAGATTAGTAATAGCTCCCAGCAGCCAATTTTCATGTGTCCTGAACATAATGCTACCAACTTACCAAGCACACACACAGCTCTATAAATATGATCATGTTCTTCTAGTCATGTTTTTCTAGAGACAAGGTCAACAGGCATGCCCTTTAAAGCATGTCATAATCTAAGCTTCTTAAATTATGCACCTTAGAAATAGGGGGAAAAAAACAGTTTTGCACACTACTGTGCAAGTCCAGTATTATGTTTGTCACAGGGCCTTTTAAATAAATGACTCGAGCCACAAGTGTAGGAAAGAG